GAGTGGAGATTGTTCTAGAAATAGAACCAAACCTATTCTAACCAGAATAGAAAGAAATCGAGAATCATTCCGTGGCTTCGTCACAAAAATAATTTAATCCTTTCGAAGCCGGAATCGAACCCTCGTCCCTATAATCGTGAATGTTAAAGTTTACGCTTTAACACGCCCAGCCATAACGACCAAGAAATTGCAGAATTAAATTTACTTGAGATGATTACTTACATAGCGGCGACTCAAATGGGCGTGTAAAATTGCTGGGCTTAGTTGCGAAAGAATTCGTAAAAAGTTAATATGCATTATGCCGAATTGTAAGCGTCCCAGAGATAGGCCGAAGTGAAGATGGGAAGATGCCGTTAAGGCTGATCTGGAGAAATAATTTTTAGAGGCGATCTATGGATGGAAGTAGACAGCTTAGATAAATATATAGATCTCCGGGTTAACTCAGCCTTTTATTATTATTAGTTATTTTTAGTTGACTGCTAAATAAGTTAGGTACCAAGTTTTATGATACATCGAACTCATTTGCGTGTGCGAATTACAAGTGTTAAATATTTATGATAATATCACAAAGTTTTTTTTCTCTTATACTACATTTATTTCAGAAAATTAACACAAAAAATTGTATTCAATCTATACTGAAATCAATAATAAACTGACCAGTGATAGTACTTTTGAATTATTGATATATCAGTGGAGTGTATTTGGTATTATTATTGTTGTGAATATTAGTTAATTAAAGCTGAATAACAGGTGCATTTGTTTTGAAAAATTGTTCATACTTTTTTTTTTATTATAGGGTAAGAATATGAGAACTATGAAGCATCGAAACATCGCCTGTATATTTATTAATTCTAAACCACAAGATCCTTAGAAAAAATCTATATTTATAAATTTGTATTTATATTTGTAGATATTATTTTTCGATGTTGAATACTGATTTATATCAATGACCAGTTTATAAACATTTGCATAAAATCCTACTACATGTTTGGTCGTGGTAACTAAATATTTCAATGTTAATCGTTAATCATTTTAATATTACAAACATATTTTACTTATAAAAAAGAAACCGTGCAAACAAAATATGAAACCAAAAAATACGAGCCTAACACATACTTCCCTTACCTTTCATGAGAAGACTTTATCCATAAACATCACTCACTCTTAACCTCGATCTTCCGTTTCAAGTATGTGGAATATGCAACTAGATGCTATGAAATATTAAAAAGCTGTATTGATCCCAGGGAATAAAACTTTCAAGACGAAATTCTTGGCCTGAATAATTTAATAACAATTGACATGGAAAAAATATGATGTATTGATGTTAGCCATTAAACATTTAACGAACTAACACTGTTGAACTAATTAAAAAGGAGGCTATCATGGCCATATTTCAATTTATATGATGATTTTACTAAAATAAATTATATTAAAGTAAAAAAAAAACTTTTATATTATCAGATTCCTGTATTTTCTCATTTTGATCAACTAATTATTGAAAGACTGAAATCCGAAATAGATGGGACCAAAAACTTTTACATTGTTCTCAAATCCATGTGATCTTTGATAACACAAAAAGACAGATCTCAATAAAATTAAATAGAAAAGAAAAGGGAAATTACAGAATATAAAGATAATTTAATCAATTTTTTCCTCAAATGTAACCATTTTTTTATTTTTTAAAAAGTTGCGCAGTATTATGCTTAATTTGAAAAAGTAAAAAATAAAAAAAAAAAAAACAATGTTTATTTAATGACAAAGGGATTACACCAAAAGAAAAAAGGTAAATTCAACATTAAATAACAGTAACTTATAATAAGGTAAAAATTCAAATAACAGTGATTTATAATGGGATAACAATACATTTATAATTGTTCCTTGCATTATAAAGAAAAGACTAACAAAACTCTAGATAGTTCTGATAATGGGAAAATATATCCCAAAATGTCAACTATGATGTGCAACAAATGATCTAAATAAGGCAAGTCACAAAGGAAGTTATATTTGCCAACTTCACTATTATAACCTAAAACTTCTTAACAAAAGAAATAAAAAGAAGAATTATTAGAAACAGAAATAAGAAATAAATTATTTAGATAATAGTTTTTATAATGTGACTTTAATAAAATTATATTGTGTACACCTGTGTGTAAAATTATAATTATATGTAAACACCAATTTTATGTCACCATTTAAAATAATTTACTTATTTTTCGTTCTCATGTTAAAATTTAGTAATATTTTTAAACATTATATTATACAGTAAAATAATTCAAAATATAACTATTATCGTTTATATTGGTTACCTGTGTAATTATGCAAGCATACCAAAATTCATTTACTTATAATTTCATTATTTTAATTTATTTCCTCAAGCTTGCCTTTTATTATTATTATATAATTTTAACAACACAGAATTACAGGTTAACTTGTATTAAGTGCCCTAGAATAATATTTACTATTATTTACTTCTCTTAATAAAATATAAGTACTGGATAATGGCTTATCAAGACGTGAAGATCTAATACTTGCCCTAAAATTCATAAAATAAAACTAACAGATTTTAAATTATTTTTCATAATAATCAAAGAAATTAACAACATAATAAAGATGTATATAATTTTTAATTCGTCCTATAGTGTGGAATGGTGGCCACGACTACTTACAGAAACATCTTTATAAAATAGGAGTTGCAGACTCTCCAATCTGTAATCTATGCAATGCGGGAACAATCACAGATGCAACACATTTAAACATTTGCTCTCGCTTACTGGACACAAGAAATATGAAGCAATCCAAATCTGAATGATATGGGGCTGCTAGATCTCCAATGGATAAAGATGAAGAAGAGAAGCATAATTTAAAAAAAATAAAAAAGAAACAATAATATGAAACATTAAGATAGCTGCATTAGGTATAGTCTTAAATCAGGAAGAGGTGGCCAAAATATTAATCCAAGATTTAATGGATTTCAGGTTACAAAAAATAAGAAAGTAAAAACAGGAAGAGAAAAATAGTTTCTAATTTGAGGCTCTTTAAAAGAATATAAGTAACATCATGCAACCCAATTTTTAATAATTAACTTAGTATATATTAATAATCAATAGAACGTTAAACTATTGTCATATTATTATTATTTTCTTTTAAAGATATATTTTGTAATAATATATAATAAGAGTATATTTTGTAATTTTAGTTATATCTTTATTTTCACATAGGTGAATTTTTGGATTTGGAAATTTTCTTGGCTCATAAGAACACATGCATATGCGCCAATCTCTTGGTTACCTATATCTCTCATCTTCTTTTAGAAAAACAGAATGGGAATATGCTATAAAGATGCAGTTTCTTGTTTTAATCATTGTATCTGAAGGGAAACAGCTAACAATAAGTGGTGGCAAGAAAACTTTTGTCCCATCCCTACCTATTGTCCTATCTCAGTGAAGAAGCATTGAGAAAGAACCACCAAAAATCAAAACAAATAAAAATAGCTAAATTATAATTATAATTATAAAATACAGTAGTATTATAGAGTTGTGTTTGCCCAATTTTCTAGAATTCAAATATCAAACTGTACTCATTTCAAATTTCAGAAGTCAAATGTTTTTTTTTCCTCTTGTTCATCTAATGGGAATAAACCATAATTATTAATTAAAACTAATAGTCTTGACCAGAAGATCTATCTTAAGTTATGAAACAGAATATAAGGGAGCTTAACATTTCAATAACATAATTTAAATTAATTATTTATTTCTAATATTTTTAAATTTATTTAAGTTCATAAATATTTAAATGTTATGAAAAAAATGACTTATTTAACTTCAATCTTTTTATTTTTTTCTTCATATTTTTTTCTTCAATATCTAGTTTCATAACTTAAGATAGATCTTCTGTTCAACATTATTAGGTTTAATTAATAATTATTGTTTAGTCTCATTTAAAAAACAAGAGAAATACCATTTGACTTTTTTAATTTTAAAACAAAGACTGCTTTTTTATTCAGACATCCATTGTAGCAAAATAAACAGCATTAGTCATTTTTTTTCTGATATTTATTAAGTTCTCTGTGTCAGGTGGTTATCTATCATTATCGTCAATTTTATTGCAATTTGAAGATATAAAATTATCTTTGTTAATCAGGACTTTTAACTATACAGAGAGTTATTAAAATTATCATCATTTTATTATATTATTATTTCTAATATATTTTTTTCAAATCTGTATTATAGCTGAGGAGATGGCCTAAATATGTTTAACCAAAACATTTGTTAATTTTATTTTTATAAAATTACAATGTTTTTTGTTATATTGTCCACCTAAAAAATAGTATTGTTTATTAAAAAAAAAAAATAGTACCTGCATAATTCTAATTTAAGAACAGTATAATGGTAATTCCTTTGAGTAAGTATTAACTTAGACTTAATTGAAATTATTTAAATTATAATTATACAATGATCAGGTGCAAAGAAAAAGTATATTCAAAAATAGTTTATTTTTAACAAAAACATAAAACGTTATTCAGTCTTTAAGTCATTGAGACTTAAAACAATGGATTCCCAAATATTGGCATCTATAATATAAAAATAAATATAAGAGAAATTTTTTAAAAAACCATAAAATATAAAATAATTTGACATTATCAACAATACAGCAGCGATAATGCAAATGATTTAGAAACAGATTGCTAAAATACAATCACAAAAACACTTGAACGAAACAAATGTTGAAAAGTTCTAATATAATTATTTACAATATGACTAATATGTATGCTAATCAACACTGTACATATTAGCATGTGTTATTTATATTTACTATATATATTATATTCAAATTTACATGTCTTTTTATTAAATTATAAAAACTACATAACTGACATGTGAGCTTGTAAGTATATATATATATATAAATGTAATTCATACGGCCTACAGTAAAAAAATAAATATTACATTTAGACTTGAAACCTAGCACATATCTTTTTTTAAATCGTGTATTCTGTAAAATTAATAAATGAGGTATGTTTTTCTGAGCCTTTCTGCAATGGCAGTTGCTAATGCAGCTCCTTTTCCACTGCCATCCTCGACAAGCATTAATTTAAACTGAAACAAGAAATATGATGTTAGTAATTATAATAATATGGTGAAACCTTGATTGAAATACTAAATCTGTTATTTTATGACTTGATTCCACGTATCAGGAATAAATTTTAGATATTCCTTTGGTCTCTGGGCTGTAAAGAAACATGAGAGGCAAGTACCGTTTATTGACCAATCATTATAAAAGCGGAGATATATATATATTTTTTTTTCTTACGGCTCTTGACTTCGACTTTTTGTCTCGATTCTTCTAATAATTTTTTTTTTTTGCTATTATAGGCAACAGCATTGATCGTTCGGTTCTCTTCTTTGAGATATCCAGGTAGTACTTGGTTTACTAAACAGAAGCGATCACAATTCACTCCTTCTTCATCAGGTACTTTAATGAAGAATGGTTGACAATCTTTTGCAGTAATCTCTATCCAGTCTTTTATGGAATAGGGGATAATCAGCCCAATAACTAACCTCCAACCAGGAGCTATAGTGTAAGATATAGGTGGTCGCTCACCTCCCTCTGAATCTTTGGATGGGGACATGCGGGAATCGAACCCACCCCTTAGTGATCTAAGTAATCCAGTAGAGCCTGCACTTATTAATTTTAATTTATTATTAATTATTGTATCATTTATCTTTCTTTTTGTTATTAAATCCCGTGAACAGGATATGAACACTTGATATACCATTTTTGCAGGTACATTACTCGCACGACCACAGCAGCCCTTATTAGGATCATGCTTTACTGATAGTCATTTAATTTTGGCAATTATTTAATGGAGGCTGCGATTCAGTTGATTTATTGCAGTTAGAAAAAAATAATAATTTTCTATTAAATATGGAATATAAAATTAGAATTTTAGCACCTCGTTAATTTATAAAAAATTTAATTTAACAACAAATACAAAAGACTGGGCAAACAAAAAAATAAAATAAATCATTAAATAGACAAAAGAATTTCCAGGAGTAAGAAAATCCAAAAGGCTTTAACAGAGGTTATTTAAGACTCATCAACAAATCTGAAGTTCAGCATCTTGATATTCAAGAACTATAGAATTGGTTCAGAAAGGAATTGAGATAACATTACAAAAATTTATGAAGCAAACATGATATGGTATACCAGTATGAAATAATACTGTATACTTTAGTTATCATGAAATAAATCATAAATATCTTCAATCTTAATTTGAGACCTTGGTACAGCAGCTGACTATATCTGAGTTGATGCACATTAAATTTTGTATAAATAATAAAGTTCTATTATAACAGTGTAATGTAATAATTTCAATGCTTACTGGATGCTGTGGTGCTAGCAGTTTCACAAACTTTTCCATCCACAACTTGAAGCGAGGATGGTGTTTGAAAAGAGAACCATCGACTGCGACGGTTACAAATGGCCTCTTCATTCGTTTTAATACTTCAGATAGACCTAAGGAGAAAACATATATTATTTATAACAAAATGATAAAGATTTCACACTAATAGAATGAACTAATATTTTTTCATAAAAAAATTGTGAATATTTATTTATTTTACTAGACATCAACTGTTTTTTATGGAAACATGAAGACAATTTTAAAAATTAAAAAGTAACAAGGCTCTCAGTTTACATTTATTTCTCATTATGAATAAATAGAATGTTAAAAAAATAAATAAATAAAATAAAAAGCATTGGTGCAAGCAGCATGCTTTCAATAAGCAACATAATTTTGATTTTGAGAAGGTTAAAATTCTACAAAGGGAGAATAACACAAAAAAGGGAACAATTTTGGAAGCTTTGTACAGAGAACATAGATTATAGTGTTAATTTCAAAGCAGATTCAGGACAAGTAGATCAGAATTATGCAGAAATAATAAGTATAATTAATTTATAAATATATTAAAATGAACTTATTTAGATATGTTTTATTCAATAATTTTTGTTAAATTTTAAATATAAAAGTTTAATTGGGCTCCATCCCACTGTGGTACACACGGAGGCGAACAGGCAGATGTCGCATCCCGAATGACTCGTAGGCATGTTAACAATGAGGTAAAATCTATTAATTATGTTCCTCGGGAAGACTGGGTGAGGCAATCGAAACTTCAAATAATAGCTCAATGGAATGAAACATGGAGAAGAAACCGCTCAAAATTTTCTCTGGGTAAACCTAATAGTGCTAAATGGTGTATGAGTAACAGTAGTTCTAGAAGAGAGGAAATATTCCTGTGCCTCCTCAGAATTGTTCACTGCGAATTTTCACATGCCTACCTTCTCCACTGCCAAGAACCACCTACCTGTGTCAGGTATGATTCTCTTAGAACTGTGAACTACATACTCATGGATTGCACACATTATGCGGTTATCCAGAAGAACCTTAACATGCATAAGACTATCCGGGATATGTTGCAGGATGCGGAGAGAGAAGTGGAAATCTTACTGGACTTCTTGAAAACAATTCGATTCTACAATAGAATATAAAAAGTGTGAGTGATTTGAGGATTGCCAATGACCCTAGCGGATATAGGCAAACAAACCAATAATTAAATAAATATAAAAGTGTTTTATAGAATTATTATTTTTTAAAATGGTGAGTTGATAATAGGGCTGTGAATAAATTGTATTTATTTAATATAATATTTATGAACTGTTTTAACAATACATAAAGATAGTTTAATAATGTAAACTTCAATTTTGAAAAATGTTGGTTTGAAATGTGAAGAGGTTTAAAATAAACATAACCTTATAGAGGGAGGTTTTAGTATTTGACTAATTAAGCTATGTTGACAAGGGCAATTCAGTCCATATGATTTTAATTCTTTAAATAGGTATGTAATATAAAGTATAAAAAGAAAATAATTAATAATAATTCTTTCTTTGAAAATGACCTAAGGTCTGAAACTGTGGTGTAGAAAAAGAAATAAAGTAGGACTATTGTGGTCAAATGTGTGTTTTCATTATTACTAAATAGGATGTGTAAGAACATAATTTACTTATACACTTTTAAAGGCTGGATGTCCATACTTATAATTGGTTAAATCAAAGTGAAAAATGATTACTTATTTGTTTAATTTTTTTTTAAGAATTTGTAATTCATACTTACAGGATGAAACGAGCATGGCCGCTCTGATGGAGACAACTTCGGAAACATACTTTACAACTTGAATATCATCTTCGTTATAATCTAAATCAAACAGCTTTAAAATTTCTTCAGTATTACATAGAGTATTGTTCACGTTGTCTCTGAAATAGAGAAAGTCAAATGATAAGAATTTAATATTCAATACTAATTTAATTGTTATTAATATTATAATACTATAACCTATATATATTTTTTTTCTTATGTGACGGCAAATAAACTTCCATTTTTCCTTAGTCTTTTTTTAATCTGATATTTTGGGACAATTTTCCCATCCTCAGATAATCCTGGTAATAATTGTACCAATTGTCAAAAATTACAATAATTGTCATATCTATTTAAATACAATACTTTTTGGTGTAACACAATCTACTAGGTAGCCAGCCAGATGTTGGTTGGTGTGATGATGGAGAGAAAATGAAGGTGTAACACCAAAAAGTATTATATTTAAATAGGTATGACAATTATTGTAATTTTTGACAATTGGTGCCACATTACAAAGTCAAGTCAAAAAGTAACAAAGGATTCTCTGAGGATGGGAAAATTGTCCCGAAACGTCAGATGTAATAGATGTTATTAAAAAAGACTAAAAAAAAATGTAAGTTTATTTTCCTTAACCTAAAAAAATATATAAACCAAAACTTCTTAGAAAAAGAAAAATAAGAAGATAATTTTTTATTATTTTTTTTTTATTATAATTTATTTTTTTGTGGCCTTAAGACTTGCCAAAGCAAGTCCTATTTAGCCAGATCCTATAATATTATACAGTGCTATAATTAATAAGATTGGTTGGTGTAAATTGGGTATCAGTTTCTGGATTTATAAAAAAAATTATTTATAATAAGGTATAAAGCTGAACAGTTTGTTAACCATCAGTTCAGAAATTACCAGTCTGATTTCAAAAATTCTTTTTGTGTATGGCGTCTTCAAGGAATGTATAAGCCCTTATACTTTCAAATTTTTTATTTTATTTCCAACAATGTTTCGAGCTGATTAGCTCATTACCAAGTCATCTACAAATAACAATTAAACAAAGATAATTTACAACTCTGATTACTCGTTATCTAGTCATATAACATAATGAACTAATCAGCTCGAAACATCGTTGGAAGTAAAATTAAAAATTTGAAAGCTTACGGGCTTATATATTCCTCGAAGACACCATATATAAGAACATTGAATGCGCTTGAAAAGTACTGATGTTGTAGTTAAATATACGTATAATTCTTTTTGTATTTGATGAACCATTCATTAAGGAAGTCATTAAAAATTTTAACATTACACAACTACCCATACAACATACATTTTTAGTTCATCCTCTAATAATTAAGACAGAGAAAGTTAAAATGGAAATATATAAAATATTTTATTTTTTGCACTTACTCTTCAATTTGAGAAACATATTTTGTCAAGAATGAATCGATTTGTTGTATTTTTTTGCTCATTATTCCGCCAAATATCAACCTGTGATTAGCCAGATTCACCAATATAAGCCTCACTAACTCTCCCAGGTATTTTCCACTTATATACTTTTCAAACCTAAAAGAAATAAATATATATGTTTATTATATTCCTACGTATGTAACCACACATAATATAAAAAATGTTAGGTTATAATTGGAAAAAATTTCAACCACATAGCCTTATATCTTCAAAATGCAGGTAATGAATAAAAATTCATCAACTTTTCACCAAATTCAGACATCATCCTTGATGAGTATGCGATTGAATGTCATGGAGTGATATGATCTTTGATTTACTTTTCTCTTTTGTCCTGATGAAGCCTGAATTGGTAAAACGCTGACGGATTTTTTATTCTTTACCTGCATTTTGGATAAGGGTGTGGGGTTGGAATTTTTCTTATTAAATTTCTGTCTCTCTTTTTTTTACTGATTTATATTAATAAAATAAAACTATTATGGTAATTAGTAATATTTTATAAATTTTGACTTCATTTGAATTTCAATCATTCACTGAAAACTTCAGGAACTTTTTCCTTAATAAGCAAGAGTCATATGTAAAATAACTACATTTATAAATAAATACAAATATGTGATATAGATTGAATACGAAGTTATAAACAATGTTTAATTGCAATAGTATAATATAAATAGCAAATCTGAAAAAAAATTAATTCAAACTTAAGCTCTATTCTGTACGAGTAAATGTAATGATTAATGTTAAGCAGTGCTTAAACAAAAAGAACTTACGTAAAAGAGCTCGCAAATAAAGAATTTGTATCGACTTGTTTATCGAAGTCTGTTCTAATGAAATTCAGTAAACCTCCATCTCCAAAAGCTCCCCATTCAATGTCTATAATTACCTGAAAATTTTCAGTAAACAGTATTATTACCATATAATATTAACATATAATGCATCAATATCTTTGTAATCCCTAAATATAGTAAGGATGTCTGATAATTATAATGAAAATAAAATATTACTTCTTTCTCTCCATGCCTTTCTGCTTCCCAATGAGATACTCTTTCAGCTCTTTCCATATAGCAGGCGTTGCTTCCGGTACCAAGTATTAAGCCAACAGCCGCATTACTATCCAAAACACATCCTTGTAATAAAGTTCCTAAAAATTTAAAAATGTTTTAATGAATAAAATAGCAGTTAAATATATTAAATTTGAATCACTGTTCAAATATTTAAATTATTTAAAAACGAGTCATACCAGTTGTGTCATTGAGTATAGCTATGATCTCCACATCCAAGCCACCTTTTTTATGTATCGCGTTCCTAAGCATATCCACTACGTCATTTCCTTCCACACCAGTTGATGCAAAGGATTTTGTCCATTTTATTAATACACCAACGTCTAAAGCTCTCTGATGCATTGGAAAGGAAAATGTGAAACCTGAAATTAAGATTGAGTAATCACCTTTAACTTATTTTAGGTGAAATTAAAAAGCAAATAAGTGAAATAGCATAATATCACAATAATGGCTGGGAATGCGATAAAGAGCAGCAGGACCGAGTGCCAACGCTGTTACCAATAATAAGGATTATGAATTATGTTAATATTTTCATAACAAACCAAAATGTGGTTTAAAACCTTTTTTTGTTGGGTCCGAGTAGTCCGGGGGATGGGGTGGCTGAGCTGGCTAACTCTTGTGCACAGCACCACCCGTTGCCCGGCAACCTGGTAACCGAAGTTATAAATGATTAAAGAATTATGAGTTCAAGTAATAATTACGAGGGCTTATAATTCTAGCATTAATCCTCATTCTCACTCCCTGGTCTGGGAAAAACTATATAGCCTAAAAAATGAGGAAGAGGAGGAAAAAAAGGGTCCAAGTAGTCCCAAGTTACGGTATTTCATTTCATAAATATTATGTACAGAAGTATCAAAATGAACAAAAAATTAATTTATTTTATTAAAATGGTTTTTGTGGCTCATTTTTTAAAATATTAAAAAAAATTATTAATAGTTTTTTTTCATATGAAAAAAATATTTTTGATGATTTTTAATCCCCAATTCCCAGTTAATTGATTCATGATCATCAACCTGTTTTAGGCAATGATCACTTTATTTAATTGAGTCTAATGTCTATGATTTTTATTTTTCATAGGAATAATATTTCTTATTTATGAACATATGATTGTAAAAGTGTTAATAATATTATATATAACTCACCCATACGTAACTTCCTGTTAGCTACACCATGCTTGTGAACAAAGTCATACAAACAGTCTGCGAGATAATCAAACAAGTCTTCCCCAGATCCTAACCTAAGTTCATCAGAAATATGATATTGTGTAACTTCTTCTCTCACAGTGCGCCCTTTCTGCAAACCAACTAAAAGAATCCTAAAATTGGTTCCCCCAAGATCTAAGGCTAAATAATCTCCAGTCTCTAAAAAAAAAAATAAAAAAAAAATATTTTCAAAATATTGTCATTATTGGATTAAGAACTTTTCAATTCAGATTAGCTGAAAAATCTATAAATAAATCTGTTATCTAAAAAAAAATCATAATTATTAAATATAATTTATAATTTTTCCTAGTAATTTTAGGGATGCAAAATGTGGCTGTTGACATTAAGGGATGAACAGAGTTTTTAGAAATATAGTGTTGCACTAAATATTTGAACTGAAGAAGAATAAATTTACCAGAGATTAACATGGCTTCATAATTGTGCGAACTGTACCTGAAATGAATGTGAACTGTAATTGAGGTAACAGCTTTGGAGATAATAAAATGGGCGTGTAAAATTGTTTGGCAGAATGATGAATAAATCTCTCTTATTATGCCAACTAGTAAGTGTTTGAGGTGTAGACTGAAACAAAAATTGAAGGATGGCGTTAAGGCTGATTTTGCAGGGTTGACTTTGGATGGCAGTATGTAGACAATGATTGATCAGTGGTATCTGCATAAAACCTTCAGATTTGCTAAGTCTTTTATAACTATTATTATAATTTTTTCTAAAGGTAAAATATATTATGGAGAGACTATATTTTTTTAAAATATGATATAAAATCTAGCGAATCTATTTTAGTATATTTATCAGAATGGATAAGGGGCCGGGGTAGCTCAGTGGTAGGATACTGAGCTTCCAATACTAAAGGTTCCAGGTTCGAATCCTGACTCATGGCAGAAAAATTATTTATGCTGTTTCATTGGGTGGACCGCCGTGGGGCGACCCTGGATAGATAGACCCTCCTGGTGCACACCCAGCATCTATAAAGTGGGTACTCTTGATTATAATAATTGATTAAAGGGAAAAAACTGGCGGTTGAGCGTAATCTCTGTCAGATCACCTCCTTACACAACCTTAGACCAAGAAACAGTGCTTTCCCTGAAACCAAGACCCTTCATTGGTTGTAGTGATACAGGGTTTTTTTTTTGTTTTTTTTATCAGGATGAATACAGCTCAAAATCCTATTGCTTTAATACATTGTTTTCATAATATATCTTTAAATGTATATTGGTTACTGATAAAATCTACATTTTATGAACAATTTAATCCATATCTTGTCATGTAACACTCTCCTTGATTATTAAAAATATTACTAATTAGTTAAATAAATTTACCTGTTCCTTGTAATAATTCTGGGATGTAAGTATTTTCCATCAGTAACGTTGAAGGGCGATCATTGATTCCATTTTCCATTTCATCAGCAAAAATATCTGATACTTTGAGAACATTTTCACCAGTTAATCGAAAACATTGCAGTAATTCTTTAACCTAAAATTCAATTTAAAAAAAATATTAGATTTTGAAAAAAAAATTATCTGGATCTTGAATGTATTGGCAGTCATTAGATAATTGAAATAACTGAGTATCTATAAAAATATATTGAACATCGGTAAATGCTTACCTTTTCTTCTGTTTTTGGATTGGACAACACCAGCGGTGCATGTTGTTCCTCCACTACGATATCAATAACCGAGGGTTCTGGTCTAATCCTCATTTCCTTCCTGGAAAAAAAAATTATACAATGTAGTTACAGCATTTACAATTTCTCAACAATTATTTATATTTTTTCAACTAGTATGCTATAAAACATTTAATGCCGTGAGTTGATAAAGGAATTAAACAACCAATATAACATATAATTAAAGAACTTTCCAAGTTATAGCACAAGTTATGTTAAATACAAAAACCAATATATCTTCCTACACAATACTATTATAATGTAAAAACAAAAAAAAATAGGGAATTTGCTGGAACCAATTTAATATATACCGAATATTAATAATATTCTATAGAATCAAATAAGTAAAGGTAAAGATTAATACATGTGATTAGTTTCGTTTTGAATTTTATAGATTGTATTCATAAAATACAGATTTTATTTTTGAAACAAATACACAAATCCTAATGAATAGAAAAATATTTATATACTTTAAATGTGCATTCAGATACTTTTTAATATAAAATCATTTAAATAAGAAATCCAATCTTACATTCAGAAAGCTGAGACCACCGACTAATAAAACACATTTAAGACCAATACCCCAACTTTATTGAACCAACTTGGCCATCAATCAATGATAAAGAAATTTATCATAGTTGTCGGCTTCATTGTTAAAAATGAAGCTATTACTCGATACATGTTTAAGAATAGATTCTTCGGATTAGCTCAGTGCAATATTTAAATCTTTTCCAATGCTTTTTTAAAATATATTTAATATTAAAATATATTCAATAACAACTACTATTAAAACAACTGATAGTTATAAAACTTCAACACAAAACTTTTATAACAGACACCTTGAAATCTACTTTGATGGCTCCTATGGAAGTTATGCTTGGAAATTGGAAAATTACTTTTCGGTTGAAGCACGGACCTTGAAGACAGGCTTGTAAAACAAGATATTTGTTCAAAGTTCAGGAAGTACATAGGAAATTAAATCTTTTACTCTGACATTCAATTACGGAAATATGTAGAGAGAAATTTTATTGTCAATAGCGGTAAAACTAAGTGGCTTAGGTCATTTAATAATGAAAACTGCTACCAAGATAGTTTTTCATAGCCTATGGCTGAGAAACAGGTACTCCGAGAGAAGACCGACCTAACTAGGCTCTGCGGGTATTCCTTTTACTTTGTTGCATAAGGTTGAACTATGCTAAAAGGACAATAGGATAGCTTTTGGTGTATAAGCAAAACAATATTGAGATCATTTAAATAAATTAATTCCTCTAAGCTGTTTCTATAATAGACCCTATGGAAGTAGAAGCAAAATGCTGCTATCGAATTCTACAGTGAATTATAATGGTCACTGTAAACTAAATAGTCATAATTAAACTAAACATGTTTAAAGTATCACCTTTGTGTAAATTCTGTCATACTGTGGATGAAACAGCCTACCACATTTTCTGCTGTTACGATAGGTTCCAGAGGCTCAAGTTTAAAGTATGAGCTCATCAAAGCAAAAAGCATTTTAGTGCTTACCAAAGTGCGTACCAAACATCTACCAAAATTGTTTGAAATTGCTATGTTATGGTGCTCAATAGGTTTAACACGCCATGGTGCATTATACCATCAAAAAGACACTGTTTCCATGGCGACTGCACATGCTTCAGATTAAAACGGAGTTTTTAACAACTGCACAAACATTATCTTATCTACTTGAAAACAATTTTTAATTTTTTTTTTAGGCCTCGTAGTTGTAATCACAGATATGAAGATATTGATTGTTTAGTAGTTGCAAAAATCTACAAGAAAAATGTTCATAAGCCGTTTTTTTTAAAAGTTAGATCACCCTAACAGATATAAGATAACATGAAATTTGGTAATGAATCTCTGTTTAAATTTGATAATAAAATATTGTGAAATAAACCAGGTTGTCACTAGTAATTTTTATTTATTTTTTTTAGAATTATGAATAGATTATGATTAATTTTAGAACAATTTTATTTTATTTATTTGCTAGCCATGAATATCATGTTAAGAATATTAATTTTATTAATTTATATGACCAGCTTAGATATCTCTTATTTCTGAAATGCAGATGTCTAAATCACATTAAATCCTTTATTTTTTATTATATTTTTTCACATATTTATTAAATCTTTACCATTCTCTAATCGATTAGAATTCTATTTTGAATTATTTTTGTTCATAATTCATTTTAACAAAAGTGCTGATGTATTTGTAGCATTAGGAAAAAGCAGTTGTTTTGAAATCTGTGCTGTTTTACATCATTATCAAAAACCCTCTTAATTCATAATTAAATAATGATGGTATCTTAAAATATCTCGTATTAACTTGCTGTTGAGTGTTATTATGTGAAATCAATTATTTTGTCCAATGGTAAAACACAATCTCACAGAGTATTTAATCAATTTTAAAATGAGGATAAAATTGACAACTTAAATATGTATTTTTAAGTTACTAAAAAATTAAAAAATAGCATTGTTTATTGCAACATGTTACACCTACCTTCCATTATTACTCAAGTACTAACATAACACGAGATAAGCAATATTGATAAGAGTAGCAAAATTTTGTTAAAAGTAAATTTTCAAATAGATGGCAGATATTGTCATTGAGAAAATGATAAAAATATCACATTAATTGTAGAACACTATATTTTTTTAATCAAATTGTGTATTTATTTTTGCTAATATTTTAACACTCTAGATACTTCTCCTGAATGGCAGTAATATTTCAAAGCCATTATAAAAGTTTGATATAAACTTAAAGTCATTTTTATAATAATTTATATCTATTAAATAAAATTTATATCCCTTCAATAAATAATTGTGTTCATTATTTTTAATTGGAAGTTTTGGAGATTCTTGCCAGTATTGGGCCAGTCTTAGAATAAGTTTAGTCAATAATTAAACATTTCTTTTTTTTTACTAAAAAGATAGAAACAATTTATTTTTGAATAAGTTTAATCATTGACCAAACTTGTCCTAGAACTGACCTAACACAATAACTTGTCCAAGCACTAAGCTAATACCGCATATTATATGCTGAAGAGGTGGACAAAGTATTCTTGTAACTTCCAAATAAAAATGATAAAATATATTACAAATGATGAATGTATATTTTGTTATATTAGGCCTATGGGAAAGGAGCGAGAAGAAATTAGAATTAATTTTTGTATTTTTTTTTTTTTTTTTTTTTGGGAACAATAAGTACGTTTGTATTGTATAAGTCATTTATTTAATTTTTCTATAGCATGTGGCAAAGAGTGGACATTGCAACCCTTGAATTCTTCCCTGTATAAAATGGAGTATCTACATGGAATGGGAGGCTTTGGGGCTGATGCCTCTTGCAGAAAAATGGAAAAATTTATATATATTGGTCTCTATTTGTTTCTGTGAGTGATCTGGGCTTAATTAAACATTCCAAATATTTACTCTTTTCAAAGTATAATACATGTATTTCAGCTACTAAATGTGAGCAAATGTCCAGAAAAAAATATTTAAAAAAAAATTATCGCAAAAGCATTATTGTTCTTGTAAATTTTTTTTTTCAGGTCTTCAAGGATCACTTGAATATTATTTTATAAAGTTTCTTTCTTTTTCTTATTCACGATTATTGTTATATAAAATAAATAAACCATGCTCTCCAAAATTAAATCTTGGATCCTCTACAAGCTTATACATATATATATATGGCTCACTCATAAATCATATACCATCAGAATTGGGAAAGAGAATGCAAAGATTCTTTAATATGTATTGAAAAGTGTACAGGTGTTACATAATTCGTATATTTTTTTATTTATAAAACATACTTTTTACAAAGATCTAACCTTGAAGATTATATTTTGGCATATCTATGCTGTTATGAATAATAAAACTTTTTTATTTTGGTTTTAACATTTTTTTGCAATCTACAGTATAGATAATGTATCAGTATAGATACCTTTACCAACTCTCAGTGGATTTTGTTGAATGAGGTATAAAACAAATGAAAATGTCATAGATAAATGACAAAAGCCATTTTAAAAATTTGGGACATCACTGCAACCACAATAAAATTCATAGGAAAAATTGAAAAGTTTCAATACTCAAATGGTTAGGGATCGAGTTGGGATAAATTTTGAAGTGAAAATCAAGCCATGTTATATTTCCTTATTTACACAGGTCCAATGTTTTAAATCCCTAAAATGTACATTTTTCAAGATAAAACCTAATTTGTGCCTCTTAGGTGCTATTGTTGCTATGGGGTACTAATAACTTTTAGGTTTTAAAAATTAAAATTTAGCTATTTATGATAGTCTTCGATGATTACATATATATTAGAAAAGTAATTGGAGAAGAATAGCTCTTTGATCCCCTAGGTACTTGGAGTAATATAGAAAGAAATTTTTGAATATTTTTAATAAACAAAAAATAAATAAATATATATATTATTTTTTTTACCTTTCCAATATATATGTAATTCATTGAAGACTATCATAAATAGCTAAATTTTAATTTTTAAAACCTAAATATGTTATAAGTATCCCATTATCGGTGAAACACATTTTTACAACTTTCTCAAAAACGGCTCCAACGATTTTGATTAAACTCGGTGTGCCATTGTATAATTAAGTGGTATTTAATATCATTGAGGTCGTATTCTCATTGATGTCACTTTACATGGCTTAAATGTTAAACATATCTTCCTATAAAGTACCTTTAATTTGGTTTATTTTACATAATTAACTATCTCTCGTTATTAAGAGCTAAGAAAAAAAATGTTAAGTATAACTTTTGAAAGAATTTGATAATTGAAAAAATGGAGAAAAAAAGGAAAATGTTTTTTTAGGTCGAAAATGAATCTTAGGAAATACTAGTCAAAATATATCCACATAATATATAGTTGGAAAGAAGAGAATTTTAGAAGAAACAATTTCTAATATAGAAAGTAATGGAGAGTGACAAAAAATAATAAATAATAATTTGTGAAAATCACATATTTTCAAGGAATATAAATGGAATATACTAACTAAATGTAAACTATTTTAAATTTGAAAA